AAAAAAAAATGAGCGATTATGAAGGATCTAGTCACAGCACATTTTTATTTGCAAGCCAAATAAAATGAAGGAAAACCAGGTAAAGAAGAACAAGAGTTTACACAGATTTCTACTCAATCAGAAGTTTCACGACTGCCAGCGTTTTAGAATTTTCTTATACGCGATATGAAAATTTATATGTTGCTGGCTGACTGCATGGATTAGATTTTTGTAGCCCTTGATCTTCATTTTTTTACTGCTCAAGGTTTTGTAATGTTTTGCGACCAGTTTTAATTCTTTACTTGTATTTTCTACTAGTATCGGTAAAGTAACGGTAGAATCTTTCAGTATTGTTACAGAGCTAGAAAATTACTAATTTAGACCTGTCACTATTGCCCAAATTGTGACCAACCTTTTGAAGCTAGCGGTGTCGTTAAGAGGCTCACTAATGTAGGAAATACAAATGAAGCGGGAAAGACAAAAGAAGATGATCACGACAACCTGAAAGCTAATAGTTTTTATAAAATTGTTGCTTAAAACTTTTAGTGTTTTTTTGGGAAAAAAGACTAAATGATTTCTTACATCGAGGCTTATGTAAGATAGAAGCATTTGTTTTCAAATTTTCTGCTTTCAAAAATGTATATAATTTTCTTCAAGTCTTGAAAGAACTACCTCGACTGCCAAAGGCATTAAAACTTGAAAAATTCAGAAAGAACAAAAAAATGATCGAATTTATTCTAACATACGTTTAGTTATATTTTCTTTTAGCCATTTTATTTTTTAAAATTTCTACAATTTTTACATTTTATTAGGCTCAGAAAAGAACATCAATCGGCGCTGCTTCAAAAATATCTGGGTGTTCTCAAGAAGCTGAAAAGAACCAAAAAGATATTACGGTATCATTTTTGCAAGAAGTTTGAACGGAATTGTTTTTATATAGGCTAACGCATTTGCTTTAAGTTCATTCTTTATAAAAATTCAAAACTTCCTTTTTCTGTGCGAGTTAATAACCGGAATTCGTTGTTTATTTAAACTTAAAATAGTTTAAAATAAATTTCAAAAGTTAGTATCTGTTACGCAGCTACCTCAGCAGCACTTTAAGAATAAATTTTTGTTTAGATAAAAAAGTTAGTAGAGGATCTCAGGCGCGAAAAGGAGACTGTGAAGCAGATGTCGATAGATTTCAGAACGGTACTAAAGCGTCAGAACGACTTGGTCAGCAAGCTTTTATTTTATCATTTTTTTGCGAGACAGGAGAAAGTTAAAATCTTGGTATATTTCATGCGATCATAACTATTGGTTTTACAAAGACTTTTTTGACGCGGAGTGTTACAAACCGATTTTGTAAAACTTTTTCCCTACGTTGAAGCAAAATTTTAATAGTAGTATTTGCCATTCAATTCCGCTGCCTTTCTAGCTTGACGATTTATCCTCG